GGCGCCGCGTCGGTTCCTCTAAGAGGCATCTTGAATGGTGTGGAAGACATGATGGCGGGTTGAGCGGGTTGAGCAAAAAGAGCAGGTTGTATGACTGGAGGAAGGGTGGTAGTAATTGGTGCTGTCAAGGAAGATGCGGTGTGGTGTTCAAGCTTGGGCTAGCCTTGCAGAAGCCCTTTTTCATATAGAGGTCAAACTATGCAGGAACTACTTTCCATACATCCTTCACCACTTCTCTACCATTGCCAATGTAGGCCGAAACCTTCGGCCAAGGCATCAGTCGCATTTCCCGTGCCTTCATCGGCCGACCCAACTGCAGTCCGACAAATTCCCGCGCCCTGCATGCTTTAGGATGGTCAGTGATAGACAAAAGCACTCCCTGCCACATTTCCCTTGCATATCCATCCATGTCCGACATTTTGCACAGCCGCATCGGCTGTTCCTGTATACCCGAGCCTATTCCCGCGCATCTGGACCATTCCCACGCATTCCAATCACCTTTGGCCGAGTTCCTGCGCCTTCAGACTGCTCAGAAACCATTTTAGGAAAGCCCCATGTCAATTCCATGTCCATCCAAACTCCACTGGTGCGTGTTTTTACTTGCCTCGTGTTGTAACAAGGGTTTCAGCCTTATTACATGTTCTTACATATTTCCACTATTCCTGTCCCTTCCGAGTCCAAGAGGATTTAGCTAGTATAAAGAACCTGTGCTTAGTTGCTTTTGCGGAGATGGGATAGAGCTAGGTATGAAGGAGGCGGGTATGAAAAGGTTCTGCCATTTGGGTGACTCGTTGCGAGACGGAGTAGAAGGGGTAAGTGATGATGCGGTGGAGGGAGTGTCTACAGTAACGAATGGAACTCAAGGGAGCGGAAGGTAATGTGATGTTAATTGTCCAAGGGGTTCTTCCTCTTCTTCGAAGTCGGGGGTAAGATGGCAGATAACAGTAGCTTCGGAAGATGAGCGGAATCACAAGTTGAATGCAGTGCGCTCGACTTCTTCATTGGTGGAATCTATGACTGAGTAGAAAAAATCATCTTGCGAAATGTCGCTAAGGCAGGACATGGGAGGACGGAATACCTAGGTGTCAGACCAGGTAGTGCGCTATGGGATAAAAGTGGTACCAAAGCGGATAGCTTGGGAGCTGAATAGCACTGATGACTAGTGCCTTACTCTGTTCCTCTAGGCAAGGCAAAATATGCCTATGACACTCATATGCGCCTAGCACTGGTATGATTGTCACAGCGGTATGGGGTTTCTGCTTTGTTTTTACGTGTGCGTGTGATGGGGCAGTTTGGTTGGAGGATAGGTTGTACTCATGTATTGGGCGTGTTGATTGGCAGGCATGCTTTGTTATTTCTTATGCTATTTTTCGCATCATACTGGGTTGTGGTTTGTGTGATTCAGCTTTTTGGTGGGGTGGGGTGGGGTGAGGTTTTTATTTAAGGTGGGAGTGTTGTTTTGGTTTTGTTTTCATTGCATTCTGGGGTGTTTCTGGTAGGGTGCTCAGGTGTTAGTTCGTCGTTGTTTTCCTTTTCTTATTTTTTATTTTTGGGTGTCTTGGAGGTTATGGTCATGGTGCTCATTTTGATTGTGTGCAGTTCATCGTTGTTTAGGAAGGGTCAGATGTATTAGGGCCAGTGTTAAACTGTGAACATGAGTTGTTCAACCTTGCCCGCAAAAATTGCGTGGGAAAATCAGACCATGGTGATGGTACTGGTTCAAGGGCCCTTGACAACAGATTATGCCCTTATACACAATTTTCTGGCAGTCTCAAAACAGCGCAATGCATCAGGAAAAGCCTCCCGAGACAAATTATGTTAGATAACAATAAATGTCAATAATTTCTGACTATTATCAGACATTATCAGCCTTAGGAAGGTTATGGTGCATAGAAGTACTTTTTTATCCCCTCAAGAGTAATGTATAATTGTCAATAATTAGTTGATATCACAAGCAATTGGAGTGAGTTTGAGAAAGAATATGTTTAATAATGAAGCACAAATCAAGCATTTCAGACGGTGTTACAAGAAAAAGAATAGCATTGGATTAAAAGATGTATACAAAGTGACTAGAAACACGTGGACCAAGCTGACAGAGACCAGGGTATATGAAAACAAGTGATCAACAAATCTGGGAGCAAGCTGATGGAGACCAGGGTATATGAAAGGAGTGATCAACAAATCTGCACTATTTACAGATTAGCGCCATACTAGAAGCTAATCCTCACCCATGCCATCAAGGTCCAGTAGCACCAATGCCTTTCGATGCTCATCGGCCTGACTATTGCCTCCCTTTCGTTTCAAGGCCCTGCCAGTAGTGTCAATACTCAAGTCAAAGTAGCACCATGCACACCAGTAAAACTTACTGTACGGACTCATAGATGTCCGCCATCATGCAGTGAAACTTCTTAGGCACATCCTTCTTCAGATCCTCGAGGAACTTCACATGAAACATATATGTTTCGCTGAATTGATTCCCTGTGAAGTTGAACATCTTCCAAAACAGGGCTGCATAGATCTTGAAAACGAGTTAGCACTGTGCAAAGACATAAATAGAAGGACTGTACTGCTGTCGCAACCAGCGCCAGTAATGGCACAGGCATTTTGGGGTGTTTGGCTTTGTTGCCTGCAATTTTGATGAAGTGCTCTGTGAATTTGACGCCGATGGACTTCGGGCCATTGAAGACTCTAGTATGTAATAGAAAGATAACAAGTTCACCCTGGTAGGGTGTGTTTCCCCTAGGCGAGGGATTGTCATTGGACTGTTGAAGAAATAAAAGTTAGTTAGATATGTAGGAATACAATAAAGAACCTGCTTCTGAGTGCAAAGAACTCAGTGAGTGGCAAAGAGTGGTGAAGTTGGATAGGAATACGATAAAGAACCTGCTTCTGAGTGCAAAGAACTTAGCGAGTGGCAAAGAATAGTACAATCTACATCAAACTTCAAAGAATATGAATACGCGTGTTGCTCCATGAGTTTTTTCGCCTTCACTGCGCTCTGGCCGAGACGGAAGTAGCCATCGATGTTGGCGCATGCAACCTCTTTCAGGTCATGGCATAATAATGGGATGCAAGGCTCCACCTTGAGTAGTTGAACATAGTTAGAAAAAAGGAAAACTGCAATGAGCATTAAAATACATACCAGATTACCAAGTTGAGTTGCATACTGTGCATCTGCTTGAAGACATTGTTTGATGGCATGCGCACCACATCTCTTGGCCACTGTAAGCAAGGACTGCAGCGCAACTTGGTTTTTGTCGACGAGTTCGGGATAAGCATTGATAAAAATGAGGTGGCCCTTGGCGTCCATAATTGCATCCTGGACTACTCGGCGAGTCTCTTGGTTTTGATTGAGTAGTTTCACCTTCCCAGTCTCATATTGAATGAGAGAAGCAGCACTCTGTGGCGCCGCTGCGGTGGAGGTGACTGTAGTGCCTCCAATGTCACTAGAGTAGGGCTCTTCAGATCCCCCACACTGAGTAGTAGTTTCATCAGTAGGCTCAGAACCATCATTGGTGTGCCAGGTCGGAATCTAGTAAATGTTCACCGGATGATTGTCACATGAGAACAGTTTATTTTGGACTCACCTTGGCTGCTTGTTTGTGATCTCGAGCAGATTGATTTTTGTTTTTGCTGTGTGATTGAACATCATGCGGCTTCATCTTTTTGTCACCTGAGTTGGTGACAAACAAAGGGACCTTCAATATCATTGTGAGTGATGGCAACTGGTGCAGCTTAAGTAACCTATCGCTGACCTCATCGGAGAGCCTCATGGCAGTGGTCTCTTGTTCCTCGCCTCATCAGCATCCGAGTCTTCATTCTTACCGTCAGAGTCAAGCTTGTCAGAGTTGAACAATGTACTGGCATTGACATCCAGCATCGCATATGTGCGACAAAGCTTGTGAGGTCAATAAAAGCCTGAGCACTAGCATGAGTAAGACTTCCTTTTCTGCATCTAGATAATTGCTGACCTCGAGGTTTCTCAGGCTCCAAGTCCTCACTGATGTCCTCTTACTTAAGGGTCTTATGTACACCACTTATATAGTGACAACACAACTATATAGGATAAGACTTATTGCCAGTCCTTAAGTACATGGTCTACGACTTTTCTAGCTTTTGTGGTAGATAATGTGTGAGTTCTTGGGAGGATTTATTTCAATATACCTTCTTTCCTTGTTCCTTGGTTAGTTTAAAACAATTTGATTCTGTATACTGAGTCTACAGTATGAATGGTGTCTGAGAGTTAGCATGCTCGTGTATCGTGTAGCGTGAAATGTGTAGCATGAATTGTGTCTCCCTTCCTGTAAAAGAGAGAGAAAAATAGTATGGGTTGCTTGCTCACCAGCGTTTTCCATAGCTTTTTTCTTGGCATTTCGAGCCTCTATTGATGCCCGAAGGGTGAGAAGCAGGCATCTCTGAGTCTGCTGGTGGCCACTCACCATGAGAATTAATAGGTGTGGACATTGTACACTAGATCAAAAGGGCAGGGATGGCTTAACGGTAAAGGAGTGTGAAGATGAGAGAGTGGGAAAAGTTGAAAAGTTTGAGGGCACCATCAAATTTTTAGTGTATTTCAACGGCGGAGGCTGTTCAACTTTACAAGCCCTGACTTTAGTTCTCGTGAGCTCATCCTTTTTTTCTTTTTTTTACCTCAGACTGACCCTCAAATGTTTTAGTATTGATTTACTAGCTTGCCCGTTGCACCGGCACCGTGTTTCAACTGACACCAAACCCGCTCTCAACACCAGTAATATCCCTGTTTCATTTCGCCTGACCCCATCTCAGTCATATACCCCAACCCCATCTCAGTTTCATTTTGCCCGAGCTCTCAACACAATGTCCTCCAACCCCATCTCAGTTTTGTTTCACCCGACCCCATCTCAGTCATATCCCCCGACCCCATCTCAGTTATTACGAGTTTCATTTCGGCCCAGCTCTCAACACCATATCCCCCGACTCCATATTAGTCACTTTTGACAGGAACCGAATAAACCAGCACCATGTTGAAATGCCCTGCCTGTGCCCGCGACAACCTTACTGTTATTGGCCTCAGTCAATATCTTGCAAAGAGCCATAATCCCCATTGTCATGCACTGTACCATCAATTGCATACTCGTGTCAATTTGGAATTCAAACCTCAACCTCTCGATGAACCTTGTGACAAGTCCGAGGGGCCTGAGGGGCCATATCATATGTACAAGGAAGAAATGCAGGACTTCAAAGATGAAGTCCTGCAATCATTCGGCAATGAAGAACAGTTTGGGCCACATGATGAGCATGACAGAAATAGCAGTGACGAGGAAGATGGTAGGGAGGAGAATGAATGGGAGCCAACAGTGCAGGAGGACGAGGGATGGGCAGGGGTGGAAGTTGATGATCCTATGGACGATGATGATGGCAGTGTCGACCGCGAAATGCACCACCAGATTGAACAGCAAATCGCAGATCACGATAGAGTCATTGAGTCATATCCTGATCATCGAGCAGGACAGCCTATTGCCCAAGCCAAAATTCAAAATGTGAATGCTACATATGCTTCCAGTATTGACAACGCAGAAAATCCTTATGCTCCGTTCTGCTCTCAAATGGACTGGGAGGTTGCGCAATGGGCGAAGTTATGCGGCCCGAGCTCAACAGCATTTTTGGACTTGCTTAGTATTGATGGTGTAAAGGGAGCTTAATAGTATCATCGACACACAACTTCCTGGTCATCCAAGGTTTCACCGTAAACAGGTTGTTGTTGTGGGTGAAGTGTTCAATATTTTCTACCACAGCATACTCAAATGTATCAAGGATCTCTATGGCAACCCAGACTTTGCCGACTTTCTTGTGTTTGCACCAGAATGCCACTACACAGACGCTGATAAAACAGTTCGGTTTTTTGGCGACATGCACACAGGTAATGGTGGTGGAGTACTCAGGTGAGCCCACATAGATTCATATCACTTGCTTAATCAAATTAACCTTGATATTGAACAGAAAAAGCTTGACAAACAGCGGCCAGGCGCAACTATCATTCCTGTCATTATTTCGACTGATAAAACACAAGTCACCGTGTTCCATAACAAAACCGCTGTGAAAGAGAAATAGTTACTAGGCTGTTAGAAAACTAGTACTACTTATCCAAATAGGCGTGAGTGTAGTATTCGACCGAAGAGGACTGCTATTGAAGCAACTCCCTACTAATAAGCAAGGGAAGTGATAGCGCGAAGGGCTAAAAACCTATAGCGACCTAAGACCAAAAAACCAATGAGTAGTGCTATAGTGATCAGCAACAAGTGAGTTCCGACAGAGAAATGTGCATATAAGTGAGAGGCGCTATGCAAGTTGTTTTATGCGATAGCGCTATGTGACATCCGACTAGCAACAGTGAGAAGAAATCAAAGGGAGTGAGAGCGAGAAGTAAGATAAGACAGTGCAAGTGAAATGCCTGGTAGCGACTAGATTGTAGTGCGACTACCGATAGCAATCCTGACATTATGAAAGTCAAACTTAAGAGGGAACTTTAGCAACGTGCACTTTAAAGCAAGTCAAGCGACACGTGATCAGAGAGATTTGGCAAGAGCAGAATCGATTGCACCAAGACTGAGATATAGCAACTAAAGTGACTCTGACACCAGCAAAGGTCCGGGGAAGGGAAGCACTGTACTGTATGTGCGATGGGTCATTTTATCATACTGCATAAGGGTTCGGAATTGCGTAGGCGAGTATAGTAGCGATACTGGCGAGGGCATGATATAGCAACAGGTAATAAAACATGCAGCACTGCGGAACACGAGGATATATGTAATAAGACCTGCAACTGATGAGTAGCGACATTTAAAGAAAAATAACACACCAGCGGAGGTAGGTGGACAGAGGCAGGACATGGGAGGATGGAATACCTAGGTGTTGGACCGGGCAGTGTGCTATGGGAGAAAAGTGGTACCAAAGCGGATAACTTGGGAATGATAGCGCTGGTGACTAGCGCCTTACTCTTTTTCCTCTAGGCAAGGCAAAATATGCCTATGATACTCATATGCGCCTAGCGCTGGTATGATTGTCACACCACATACCCTGTCTACCTTACTATTGGTAATATTCCAAACGAGATTCATCGAAAACCATCCCAACGCGCACAAATCCTTCTTGGGTATCTTTCCACAACATGCCTTGAGCATATTACCAACAAGGCTTCATGTCACAGAAGTGCTGCAAACCTTTATCATGCATGCATGTCTCGTATCTTGTTGCCGCTGGAAAAGCTGGTCTCGACGGTCTAGTGATGCATAGTGGGGATGGTGTCTTGCGCCATTGTCATCCTCTCTTCACTTGCTTTGTTGGTGATTACTCCGAACAACTATTGGCTACTGGAGTCAAGACTACAGAATGCCCAAAGTGTGATATCCCTCCTGACGAGCTTGAGAGTAGCACAACACCCTTCGAAATACGTGATTTTGATGCTGTTCTTGAAGCACTCGCCACAACCAACATTGGAGCCCTCGAATTTGTTCAGGCATGTTGCAATGCGGGAATCAAGCCCATTGTCCACCCGGTTTTGGAAAACTAACCTACGTCAACATTTTCCAAGCTGTTACACCAAACATCCTCCACCAATTGTATCAAGAACTCATTAAACACCTTCTTGGTTGGCTGGCAGAGGCATGTGGATCAGCCAAAATTGATGCACAGTGTCGAAGACTACCGCCGAACCACCAGATCTGTTTATTTATGAAATGAATCACTAGCCTCTCTCATCTCAGTGGCACGGAACATGCCCAGATATGGCATTTTCTCCTCGGCATAATTATTGACATATGACTTCCTGGCAATCTAGATCCAGCTTGTCTTTTGCGAGCTGTTCATGGCCTCCTTGATTTCTTGTACCTGGCATAGTATCCATGTCACAGTTCGGATACATTGTCTCTGCTCGATGAAGCTCTCACCCTCTTTCATGACAACAAGCAAATATTTGTGGACCTCGGTATTCGCAATTCAATCTTCCAAAACTTCATGCAACTCGGCACTACGCATCTAAGATTCCTTTATATGGCACCACAGATAACTACAACACAGAGTACATGGAATGTCTTCATATCGACTTTATGAAAGATGCCTATCGTGCCACTAACCACAAGGATGAGTTTGCACAGATGACTTGGTGGCTCGAGCGCAAAGAAAAGATTGTATGCCATGTTAAATTCATTCAGTGGCGACTCAACATCAATCCCTTTACCCATCATCCTCATCCACCCAACTTGTCTTTTCGCTGCACTCAAACCTTAATGAAGCACCCAAGTGCAAAAGCAGGGCTAATCCAAAGATTAATTTCGGACTATGGAGCCATCTACTTTTGCGAAGCTCTTGCTTGGTATCATCAGGTAATTGACCCTAAAATGATAAATTCTTAGACAGCTTTATCTGCTCTAAAATCTGTATAATATCTATCATAATTGTATCCCGCATGAAAATGCTTTATATACCCGGACTTACTTGGATGAAACCCGCCAAATCCACAACCATGACGGTCTAGTTGCCAGCTGTCACCAAAATGGTGTGGTATTGCAACACCTGCCAGCCGTGGGAAAGGATGATTTAGTTGACCAATGTCGCCAAGTTGATGGCAAGTGTCGGAACATTACAATTCTGCCCTGCTGTGATAATTGTATGTAACCTTTGACTGTTTTTATGCTCTTCACAATATCTGAACAAATTCCAGCATTCAATAGAGATTTATATGGCTGGACTGTGTTGGATCAACACTGCCTACAGCCCGAGGGTGCCAAGTGTTCACAGCACTGTATCAAGTTGTGTCAGTGTGATTAACTCATGCGAGCTAAGCTTGCCATTGCAGCTTCGACAAGCACTCTATTGACACTGACAGTAGATATGCAGTTACAACACTAGCTTGTGTTGCCCAAGATTTACAAGAACCCCATCAACACCGCCATTAGATATGCGGTTATGATGCTGCCTTGTGTTGCTTGAGTCTACAAGAGCCTCATTGATGCTGATATGAGGTATGTGGTTACAACACTGGCTTGTGTTGCTCGAGTCTACAAGTGCCTCATTGACACTGATATTAGGTATGCGGTTACGATGCTTGCCTGTGTTGCCCAAGTCTACAAGAACTTAACTGATGCTGACATTAGTTATGCGATTGTGATGCTTGCTTGTGTTTCCTGAGCCCGCTAGGTACACAATGTAAGCGACAAGCACCAACATGCTGCCATCCTGCCCAACCTCGACAACATATGGTCACCATGTGTATAGTTAGCGAGTGATTTCATCTTCCACAGACTCTCTCTCAATGCTGGAGTCAGCCAAAGTGTTTGAATGTCAGACTGCTTTTGGAACAAGCTACATTAAGTCCACAGTCACATAACGACAACAACGCGGTGCCTTCCACTACCTTGTTGCTTTAATCATTTAATTGTGGGGTGGAATGTTGACTGCAGGTCTTGCCTTGTAGGACATAGACTAATATATAGTATAGGGTAACACATTGCCATACTATAGCAATCAAATTATTTTTTCATCAGAATGTCATGGCTTATCACTTCAGCGTCGTGACTAGCTACAAATCAAAAGAAAAACCAAGCTGATATTAAGTAGGATGTAATTGTATCTACTACAAAAGGTATACTCAAACTAAGGCTATGTAGAAACCACGTTCAGATTTGAAGTTTGTTTCAATGCAAGACATTTTTGTCAGATCTTCGACAATGCACTGTTGGCAGTGATGTTGCACTTGGCAGCGGAAGAAGTGGGAAAGACTTGGCTGTGTACGAGACAATGTGTGAGCCTCGGCAACATGATGAAAAATGAGGACCATACCGATTCCACCATATCAAAAGTTCGTCAACTTCTTTTGACTCGTCGGGGTCTTTTAAGAGGTCAAGGAGGCTATGATAAAATGTTTCCAAGTCTGTGGTCGTGTCAGTCCTTGAGAACACCGAAGATGAGGTTAGAGTGAATCGGACATACAATCAACATCAAAATCATCTACATACAAAAAAGCATAGTTTCTTGACGAACCTGGGTTGCAACGTAAGCAATGGATGCGATGGTGGCAGAGTTCATGCCATGAAGACGAGCATTTCCGGATCACGTAGCTTTCGGTTCCCTATCAACTGAACTCAGAGATGTGAAGATGTGTTTGTAAGCCTAGCATAATATAATGTAGTTAATGAATTAAGTAAGAGAGACATGAGACATACACATATAAGCAAGCGACTCCAAAGGAGACCGCACCATGGATCTTTGGCATCGTAAATATGATGTGCATACAAAAAAATGGGCCATTGATCTCCACAGACCAACAGTTCACTGCTTCGGAGGTTTCTTTGGTCCTGTGTGCAAAGAAATGATAAAATTCCAGTCTAATCCAGCAGGACAGAGCAGGGAGCCTGTAAGTTCGTGATTGAATCCGTGATTGATCTTCGAATTTCTGTGCAGAGGAGGTTGGATCGCCTCTCCTTTTGGAGCAATCTAATCTAATATTGCAGACTTCAATGTTTTCGTGTCATCGCCTCGTGCGCCTGCGGCTCCCTTACCTATCTAAAAAGCATTAGCAAGAACTCTGATCATGGTGGGAATGATGTACTAGCTCTCCAATATGAAGGATTTCCTCCTTAGACCCGTTTGTCAATCGTTCCAAAAGGCTGGGATATGAATCCAAGAGCTGCTCAAAGACCCGATGTTATCACCGCTCTCTGCCAAACGTGTCAATTAACGAGCAAAAGAAAAATAATTCTTTCCTCAGCGGAAAAGTCCTCTAGTGCAGTGTTTTCTATCTGTTCTAGTCTTAAGATACCATTGGTAAGTAGGTAAGGGTAGTTGCATAGCACAAACACTGTTTGACCAAAATGTCATCCATGGGAGACAAGCGGATCCGACAAGGAGCTGAGTGACAAGATGAGTTGACAAAAATCTGTGACAACATGGAGCAGCTAACACTTGTTCCAGGGGGCCATTTGGAGGGCAGACGAGCCGCATTTGCTTGGAATTCTGGAAGTGATGTCCTCAGTAGTCATGAAGGCTGAAGAGAAAGAAAAGCATAGTCCAAACTTTGCAGATGGATTGAAGCCTTTTATCGTGAGCCTATGTGATATAAAAGGAAAGGTTGTTGGCGGAGTGGCCATGTTGAAGGTTGACTGGCGGCCAAGCCTCTTGGCACATGGCAGCCAAGAATAGGTCAGGGTGTCTGCCGATGACATGGATGACCGGCCCATGTGCTCCACCTATTCGAATTACACTATATGTAAAGGACGGAGTATTAAGAACAAAACACGCACAACAGAATAAGTCCGCCCATATGTCACAGTGGGTGGGTCAGATGTCCAAATTGCAAGGACATTCTGGTAGCGTTAACTTGAATTTAAGGTAAATCTAAAAGCTGGTGACTTACCTTGTGGTGCTGACTTGAACGCCTGTCCTTAGAATCGAGTTATTGTGCAATGCGAATCAAAACAGTGAAGAACTCACAGGTCATGATGTTTTAAAGTTGGTCAACGGACTCGTTGTTCATCCCAAAAGCTCATCATAAAATAGCGAGGTGGATGTTGGTGATAACAATTCCTCAGCAGGGCACATCAAGGCTCCCCTTCTGCTAGTAGAGAACAATGAAACAGAGGAGGTAGAGTCCGTTGCCAGGCTTAAAGAACAATTGAAACTTGCGGAAGTAGGCTGTGCAAGGCTTGAAGAAATGTGCCGAACATACAGGCCTTGTTGGTTAGAAGAGACGTATCGAACAAAGGTACTGAAAAAATACACACCACAGGGAATCAATACTTGCTCTCCGCATCAGATCGCATGGGATGCTCCTTCTCCCATTCAAAGTATGTCTGACATGATCTCCATTGAGTAACAAGTTGACTGTCTTGCTCAGCCAAAGATGAAGGCGAACTTGAAGTTGAGTAGATCAGAGAGTGTGGGGCCTGGAGAAAAGTAAGATGATGAGTAGTCAATGTGTAACCTGTACAGTTCGCATCAATATTCAGCCCCGTTTTTGGCACATATAATGTCCAGTGGCGCACTCGTGCTAAGTTCTTCGACCTAGATTCCAATTCTATGAGGATTTACACCTTGTCGACTGATGTCGGGTGTGATGACCTTAACACCTTAGTCTGCATGGTGACAGACCGCTGACTAGTACAGGTATTAGATACAAAGAGGTTGTGCACCGTCTCAGTGAGGATAATCCTACATCAGCCCAAAAGCTAAGGTAGAGGACTTGTGGATTCGACCAATGTCACAGTGACAAAGTGTTACATTGAGTGACAAATTACAAAACGGAGGTTAACTGTTCAACCAGGAAACGAGAACAAAATCTGTAATATCAGAGGGTGGACAATGCATTTACGCAGACATTGATATTTTCTGAATGAGCAGAAGTGGAGATATGAGTCAGTTAACTATGTTTCTGTAAATTTACCCTCCTAGCGGAGGCTTAAAGTCTGTCAAGACTCCGAATGCAAGAGGTGCCATGATGCTGAGAGTGTCACCCAGTGCAGAGCTCATGGTTGAACGTTGAAACGTTGACCAGCCACGCGCACGAAAGTGTCGTGGTGCAGGCCTTAAAGCATGGTGGGCATCCAAGTGACAAAAAATAAGTTCAGACACCTCAGAAAATGACAAAAATGTGAGCAGCTCAACTTCCAATGCTACAAAAATGGCTGTATCGGGTGAAGGAGCGATTCTCATCAGAAGATGCTCTTGAGCGCAGTGTTATTGCATCACTTGATGCTGTTCCATTGGAGTTGATACAACGGTGAGTGACTTCAATCCCACTTGAAAAGTTGAAATTCAGGGGTTGATAAATATTTTGATCTTTGACAACCAATCTTCAGCTTCGCCATGCGGTCCACAAGATTTATCGATGCTTATCATAATGGCCTCAATGGCGCACAGGCTGCATGGGCAATAAAAAAATTTCGTGGTCATCATGTTCTCCCCACAATCAATTATGGACGAGTTTCATCATCTCCCATCAACAAATTAGTATTCCACTGTTCTGAATCGGGGGTAAAACTCTGTGTCACTCTCGAGCTTTAGTGCTGAGAGTGTCGCACTTCTCCTACTTCGCAGTTCTCGATGCAAGACTCGCAAGTCGAATGTAGAACTGATTAAACACGTTTGTTATTATACAACCTCTTAATCTACCTTAATTTCACCATGCCAAAGTCATTACACTTCTACTGTACTTACTGTAGCTTGGCATACCATTGCCATACATTCGGCATACATTCGGCATGGCTTATGCATGCAGCATCACACCATGTCACATGCACATGATGTTGGTCGAATCCACAAGTCCTCTACCTTAGTAGGATGCAGAAGAAGACATACCACCGCAATTAACAGCCCAGTTGATGGCCCTGGTTGCTCACTGCTTGTGCATCAATTACTTTTCTAACAGCATCATGGAAAGAGGCTTCAATGCGATCAATGAATTGCCTCTGTAGTAAATGGTACTGAGTCTCACCCTTTGAGATATGGGCAAGCTCCTTGTATACATCATGATAGACGACAGAATGGTCTTTCGATGGGGGTCATGAGGCGGTCCATCATGGCTCTTGCTGTCGAAAAAACAAATATTCTCTCAATCTGACGAGTGATCTTTGGAGGAGAAAAGTAAGCAGGTTGGATGACACATGTTTTGTTGTTCGAGGATGAAGGGAGATCAAAGAGCATTTTTAGTCATGCCAGGCTAATAAATGCGGTGTGAGCATGCCTTGCGAGAAATAGGAGTAGTAGGTAGACCCAGGATGAGATGCACAAATAACGAACAAAAAGAATCGGTATTGCTTTCATGGGTATAACGTTCTAGGGACAAATTTACCAAGAACTATCAAAACAACCTGTGCTCGTGAAGTATGTTAGTCGCCACTTCTGACAAGAGGCCTCATACAATGGTAGTACACATAGTACAAACCACCGCAATGGTTTATATGATGGTTTAAAAAATATAGATGGAGAATGAGATTACTGTGCTCAAAGTTGAAAGTCATCAAAGTTGTCCATCACATCATCACAGTCCTCATCATAAAAACACAATTTGTCTGGTCGAGGGGGTGGAATAAATTCACTGGCGGAAGACGAGACACCTGCCGGGGGGCATCAGCAAGTGAAGAAACATGACCATGGGGCTCACTAGTGATGTCAGAGAAGTCCAATTCATGGGCATTTTGAATGGCCACTATATAGAGCTCTATCTCAGCTTTGGCATGGTGCATCTTGGCCTGCAAGATGAGCATCTCTAACTCAATGTTGCGTTGATACAGGTTTACAGTAAGAGAACATGCCATCAGCCCTGCCTGACAAGCTTGTTCTGTGCATAGTGCATCATAGAACACTTCTTGAATGTCAACGGTGACCCACGAGTTCAACAGGGGCAATAAGGGTCCGATGCACTTCAGAGAGTGAGAGTGAGAGCAGGTGAGAATATTCATAAAACTACTGACATTCAAAATGACGGACTTGCATTTGACTTCATGCGTAGAAGTGAATCCAGGTACTGGAGAGGCAGTTCCATCCATAAAAGAGCAATTTCCCATCAAAGGTTCAGCATCCTTGAGGGGGTAGGCATATCGTCTCTTTAACCATGCTTCGCATTTCTCTTGCGTAGCCGCTGAACAGCTCAAGTTTCTGCAGTCCACAGGATGACTTGAGGTTGCTGAAGATTGGCAACTGAGCAATGCATATTGCCAATGACGACAAACTTGCTCCAGATACCCTTTCTTTTGCACCCACCACTTTCCCTTAGCTGTTATTGCCATCATGTACACACACACATCATAGCACAATTAAATATATGACTAAAGCTATAATGAATGCTACACCTTTTTCTCCATTAAGTCTAATGTGATCAAATTCGTGATCAGTTGTCTTGCCTACCAGCTGCTTGCATCCCACCCTGAGCTATGCTCGGTTCAACATAACTACCATGAGATCGTGTTAATGAACGGCATCATTTAGCACAGATGAAGCTGGAATGACATCACCTCAAGCAAGGGGCCCAGATTAGCATTGATCTCACGCTGATCTCAGCTCTTACGGGGTTTTTTTTACTTCTCCTCATTATTCAGCTTATTGATACCAGTGGATGCTGAAGGTTTCCAGAAACCTTGCAGAAACCACTTGAATTTAGGGGATCTGAATTTGTATCTCTCCAGAAACACTGTGCCGTCACAACAATGTGTTCCTTTGGACATCAAATCCACCAGTAAGCATGGCAATGACTGTACATAGGTGAAGACTGACATTTTGAGCAGGAGAGACAATTCAGAACAACCTTAAGCATTTACGGGCGTCAGGCAGATTCATGAAGAATAGTCACGGTCAGCTAAGTCATGTGGCTTCTCAACCATTCAATGTTCAACCCCAGTACTTGCAAACCGCTGTCACACTGATTCAGTATCTCAAGGAACATTCTCTAGTCTTCTTTGCATATCCTGTTGTAACCCCAATGGAGGCAATACTTTGATGGATGACGCTCAGGCCCAGTGTGGTATCAAGATGTTCCTTGGTTGAGATCTGTCCATGAATCTTTCATCCCTTCTTTGAAAGAGCTCACTACTACCCTGAGAGATAACTAATAAAGCCAGTTGTCTAATGCATGTTTCAAATCAATTCTGACTTTAGCCTGTTTTACCGCATGTAACTATAGTGATCGTCTTTGTCGCTTTTGCACACCTCCAGAACAAATATGGCGGTTCATCACCGGCCTTGCTCCGACTCGCATGCATTTTCTGCAGCGTTTAAATAGAATACAAAACTCCTTTGCACCAATCCCATCGCCAATGGGTGAGTCGAGTGCATTGAACAACTCCATCTGCTCTCTGTGGGTCCACTCTAGTTGAACAGGAGGGACTCGCTGTTCTTCATTGCTTATCAATGAAATTGTATTTTTGCAGCAACAAGTTCATACCTTGTCGCGGGTACTGGAAGGTGGCTGAAGGCGCCAGCTGGGATCACATGTCTATTTTTACTAGGTGATGATCAAGTAAGATTCCTTGAGCATGAAGAACGCTGAATAACACTGACCTTGGTATCTGCATCAATCAGAGCCACATCTCGCAGTCCAAAAAGTGCTGTCTGTGGTCTTATTCCACCAAGGGTATACTGCCACCTCTATGTATGCCCCTCTCCCGCCGCCATCAGCGCATACACAGCATGGATATTGAAAATTTTATTCTTTGCGGTACTTCTCTAGGCTTGATGGCAGAACCTTCCTTCCCTCATGATCGGCAGGCCTACATTTTGTGTGTTTGTTGAAGTGTCATTGGTTAGGATTTGAACAGGGTTGAAGTAACATCTTACCAACACCATTCAACCATCAATTCTGAGGCACTGTCATAGTGTAGCAGGGCGAAGCGGCAAGTCTTAGCTTCCACAATCAGTTTCGCTAACTTCTGAGCCGTTTCATGACAGGCAGGTGGGGCGGTGATCATAGAGGAAGGTGAAGATGGTGGTTCCATTGTGCGGAATGGTACAGAAGGACCTGTATCGTCTGCTGCTTTAACAAAACTGCAGCTTTTACCTAAATCATGGTGGCTGATGTGCTGTCATAATTTGCGCCAAGGTCCTAGAATAACCTGCCGACAGAGGCTTTGGCCTGTGGGAATTTAATGCTGAGATTGTTTGGTGCCATTGGCCAATGCTGGCGCCAACTTGATGGTCCATTGTGTTGCCAGTATTGCTGAGTTCTTTCATTAATTTTCTACTATTAGTGCTGGGGATAATTGTCATCCATCATCAACATTCCCATTATTTCGGCTTCTCATGGATTCATCATCAGCTCTGACCCCTTTCCAATGTACTTGTACTCGGGAATTCACACAGGAGGCGCCTACACCAAGCATCAGCACTTGTGCTTGAAAGGCAAGAAAAGGTTATTCTCCGCTTTATCAAAAGCAAAAGAACTCCTCAGCTCTGTAAAACGGTCTTGGGTAGATAGCAGTGGCAGGTACACTTCAAGCACACTATTAGACCACCTGCCAGTACCATCGTCGTCCTGTGACCAGGCCAATGAGGTGTTGATGGCAGGGACTTCTATTATTCGCTCAACTCCGTCGGTGATGCACCCCAGCCAGGAAGTGTTATGTGATTCTTCATTGCACAGTGCACCTACTTCTGCTAATCTGTCTATGCAAATAGATGAGGGATTATTGTTGGCGCAGCGAAGGAGCCAATGTACTGGTGTTCCTATGCCATGGCACTATAGGCAGTATGATGATGTGCTCCCGCAGCCTCCTCCGAGTATTCCTTTCAGATTTCCTGACAAACAACCACAGTCAAACCTACCTGAAAATTCTATTGATGCATTCACCAGGACTCATACACCACTGTCAGCCCCTCCTTTCCGCACAGCGAGGAATGTCTTTGGCCTTGTACGCCAATTCTTCTCATTGACCCCCCCATCTCATGACCCAGAAGAGGTCGTAACTCTGTGAGACATCAGTTTTATCCCAGCTAGCACTCCAGCAGAACTCCCTGTTTCCCCCGAGCCTCATGATATCTCGCTCTATCCATACCCTAACAAATCGTCATTTGAGCTTGGCCATTGGTACTGGAATGGCGGTGTACAAAAATCCCATCAGAGCTTTAAGGAGCTGATTGACATAGTTGGATGTCCGGATTTTGATCCTGATGATGTGCGAAATACGCACTGGGATAAGATTAACTCGCAATTAGGCATGAGTGCTAATGATGAGGAAGGGGAGGTATGGGAAGATGAAGATGTGTGTTGGCATAAAACGCAAGTAACAATTGAAGTTCCATTTTCTTGCACTACAGCTCAGCCGGGCGCTCGGCCTTATGTCACTGCAGACCGTTATCATCAACCTCTGATTTCCGTTATTCATGAAAAGCTCTCAAATGCTGAGGACGATGAACTCTTCCACTACGAGCCTTACCAGCTGTGATGGAGTGCCCCCCATCTTCAACGTGAAGTCGATATTCAAGGAGAATTATACACATCACCGGCCTTCATGGATGTGCACCGCGAATTTCAGCAGTCTCCTGGAGAGCCGGAATGCAATTTACCATGCACTGTTGTTGCACTCATGTTATGGTCGGACACTACACACCTGACAACATTCGGCAACACAAAGCTATGGCCAGTATACATGTATTTTGGGAAGGCTCGCAACACTGTCAGCAGGTACCTGAATTGGGAGGCAGAGGTAGGTCAACTCGATGCCAACTGTGACATCCAGTTTACATATCATGAAGGCATTTACATTGCCTTGGATCGGCCTTTGCAGTGGCTTATCTGTGAGCCTGCCGTTGTCACAAAACCTCCGGTATCATATCGGCGTGGTTGCAATGAAACAGCTCTACATGGTGGCAAAATTCGAGGACATACATATACGACACATTCATGACCTTGAAGGTAACACCAGTTGGACCTTGGATGAAAGGTCGCATTGTGAACACCTATCGGTATTCTTGGTGGAAGGGTTCATTTGCAGACATACCCGATGAGGACCTGTTAGGCTCCTACCTGAATTGCATTGAACTGAAGGCAATGATCGCTGAGCATTATGAGCAATTGGTAAGATGAGAATCGCCCCTTTCTGTTCAGAATAACCTAGCTCAAACTCCTTATAGCCCGAAGGAACAGGTTTGGTCACGCCGGCAACATTGATCATCCCAAAGTCTACGCCTGTCGCTCAGCAATTGTCCAACATCGCCAGCGAGGTAGAGCATGAAGGACGCCAGATTGTCAAAATGTTGGAAGATAAGGTTATAGAGGCACAAATAGTGGCCGCCAGCCTCCTCCAGATGGAGAGTGCGCTGGGTGAAGATATTATGACAGCCATTGCCGCGACAGAAAAACTGGTGAAATTTCTGAAAAGGGAGACCAGTCCATGAACGCCGGGCAGAGAAACTGGCCCTATGTACAATATATCAATTGATTGTGAATCAGCTCATGCTTGAATGAATGCCGGGCACAGAAATCAGCCCTATGTACTGTACAATATATAAATTGATTATGCATCAGCTCATGTGCTTTAATTGACTTCATGTCATTGCATGTTAAAGCTCCAATACTCCATCTGAGAATATAAAACATGATCAGAAAGCCTTTCCCTCATTGTACCATGGCGTCAAACACAGAATCTTGCCTTTGATCTCTCTGACATTGCTAACATATTGGAATAAGCGGGCTCTAGACTTCTGGTCACCTGGACCTCTCTGAACAAAGAGCTTATTAGATCGGCGAGGTTTCGCAATGTTATAGGTGAGTACCTCAACTGGGAGGCAAAGGTCAGTAGCAGCGATCGCTAGTGCATCATTATACTAATCGGTGCAGTCATTTATCCTACCTTGGGTGGCCTTATGTGAAAAGTCTTGTGTTCGCCCGCCGCTGGCCTGGAATCTGAAAATCTTCCTCAGTGTGCTCTGCGACAGTGACACCTATGAAGCATTTATGAAGATCCCAGCTGAGCCCTCTAGCGCCTGGATCAGGGGTAGTATGGCAAAAACATACAAGTGTGATTGGTGGAATACTGCCTTTCAGGACTTTCCTTCTGGCGATGTCACGGGATTGCTTCCAAGCACTCGCGATCTCAGGGATATGATGTTTGATCATTTCGCGCAACTTGTAAGTGTGCCGTTCTATGTCCCCGGGCAGCTAAATGAACATATCTAGGATGGCAACACTCAGAAAGTATTGGAATGGCTGGAATTGTGAGAGAGCGGCAGTGGAAACATGCTAGATTAGATCTTGCCGGAACCCTGTAGAAAAATGAAATATATATAACATTGCCTTCCGAGGTTTGACACTATCGCCGGCTGCAACACAAATTCCGGGCGGGTATTATCTCACAGTGACAGGTATGTAGTGGAGGTGGTATTTACATGGACCTACAATCGAATATGGCCTTCGGAGCGACACAACGCCCTGATCCGGTCAAATGAACATCTGGCCTCTGCATGTAGGCAATGATAGATTTTGCTTTGTCTCACCACATAGGCTACATGTCCTTCCTTCTCTTCCTCCTTGGAGATAGTTTGGAGACCAATCCATTCCTCTGCCTTCTGACTAAAACAGGTGCATGTCCAATCCATTTCATGCTGCACTAGCAGCAATTCTTCTGCCCAATGATCTCTCAAAGCCTTGGTGTGGAGCCAATGCACACAGTAAACTATGTCGGCGTGATGAGCGGCGAGACAGTTGACTGACAATCCACATACATACATTCAACCAGGAACTGCCATCAGAGTCCCCTTGTACATCCATGGACCAAAACCAAGCTAACATATTGTTCCTCTGCCCCCGAGAATTGGGATCAGCGACGGTGGTACTAACCTTGAGATGCTCCTTCAGCAAAGGCTGGTATCTCTCAAGCAAAGCATCATTAGCGGTGAGTCTGCAAAGTTGAGACTGGCACTTTGAATAAACACTAGCGTTGATGCTGACCACCCTGTCCACTGAATGAACTTGAGCCCATGCTCTGGTGGACTTTGCCTGCGACTTCACAAAGCGGACAGTCTTCTGGAAAATAAGCGCCTTGTCTGCCAAATGCACTCTGATATTGTGCAGGGCATCATTGGCCTGGCCTTCCCGGAGGGTCAGTTCCTGCTCCACCAAATCGGCGACGCCAAGTGAAATACATCTCTCCAGTCCCAAATTTGAAGGCAATGGAATGACAACCTTCTCTGGCTCAAACACCCTGAGCTCCCCCTGCATTTCATCATCCGAGTCATCTTGAAGTATCACCAGTTCCAGTTCCATGATCTGTATCTCATTGTCGCCCAATGCATCGCCAAGGAATAGGCCGCCGGCCTCCACCCAGCAATCTATGTCCCGCTGTAAGGAGTCCTGCCAGCGCCCAATCTGCAATTGCTGCATAGCTGATGGCCGATGTCCAAGCTTCCTGATATCCATCTGAAGTGTGACCTGGGCCTCCTCAATAGTAAGACCTTCTGCAAGCCATGTCGCCACACCTCTCCGGTGAGCTGGCCCTGCCTGCCAGCCTTGCGCCGTTAACAACTGCAGTTCCTGCTGCTTTCTCGTCGGCGCTATCACTACATGAATACTGGCCTGCCATACAAAAAGCGACCCACCTTTCTGCAGTTGGACTTCATAAATATCCATTGCAGTTGGATCGTGGCAGCGCCATTCTTGTGCCATTCTCTCTTGGGCTTCCCAATCTCTCACTTTATCATCATCAGCAGTCTCGTCAAGCTTCTCAAAAGCCAGTTGGCTCTCAGCAGCCCCCTTGATAGCTTGCTTGTATTTCCGGCAGAGGAACTTGCCTGTATATTCAGCTTAGAACATTATGATCATGAGCAATATAGGACTACCGACTCATCCTGATCATTTTCATGAAATTGCAGTCATTCATTTGGTAGTCGAGACATTCTTTCCGATGTGGACTACCCATTCCACGTGCCGATGGTGAGATAATGTTTAACTGTGCCCACAAGGTCTCCATGATCTCGCCGTTGATTTGAGCTGCCCCCTGTATAAAATTGGAAGCATATCTGACATAACAGCTGTCTTGATGGCCATGGACATGCCAAAGTCCAATTCCTGGGATAATATCCAACTCCTTGTCGAGTTGCAGGATAGGACTGTCGGCGATGTGTTCCTTCAGATGCTTGTGGTACTGACAGTTTACATCGTAGAATGTCAATGCGTGGCGGATTCCTTTGGTGTTCAGTTTCGGGGCCTCACACAATGTGTGGTCCATGTTCATCTGCCTAATGGCAGTCGGCGATGTGAAACTTATGCTGCGGTATTTCACACACCTTTCTCCCTCCTGAAAATCCACCATTGCATGCGGAACAAAACAGCCATGCCTTGCGCAAGTGCACCTGCTGATGCCTGTGGCTTCCAATCTATGACAAGAAGCATTTGCTTGATTAATGGCACGATGGTAATTACACTCCAAGTGTTGAACCGCTTCCTTGGCAAGGGATAAGTGCTCCTTGTATATGCAATCGCCGACCATATCCATGGCCATCCATGAGGGAGACTTCATCTGATGGATTTGCAGAATGGAGATGTTCCACCTTGAAGTTGCCACCCATGACTAGAGATCTTGAATACAGCCAACTCGGTGTTTCTGTGTCACACTCATTGCCCTTGGCGGCATCTCCTGTTGGCAATGAGACATTGATGCCCGGCTGGGGACATGCTGGACAGAGCAGAGCCAAGTTGCTGGGTGTGGCCTGTTTGTCCTGATGGCCGAAGCCATTCCATCTCATGAGATTCAGCTTCCACCATTGTCTCACCACCCTCATGAGCTCTCGGTAGCGGTCCTGCATCCACATTAATACTATTGACATGGACGGCGAAGTACCAACACACTCACTGGGACAAGATGTGGAAAGACACTGGTTGTCATCCTCCTCAGCTTGCTGTAATAATTCATCACTGATGTCCCACATTCCAAGTTATCCAACAAGAAGTCACGTAGGGCATCAAATGTGAATGCTGTCTTTGGTTCTAAGAAAGACGCCGGAAACAAGCCAATTTCAAATAGCTGTATATCTGTGGCGGCGGCTTCAGGGCATGTGCAATACTTGACAACGTGAGTATGCACTCCGGACTTGTCGACTATTGTTGTTATTGTCTTGCTGTTCCGGATGAATGGCAGGCCAGTGGGGAGATTGTGAGCCTCCTTTGTGAATCATGCACCAGTTGGTTCTTCATCCCATTCGCTATCAGTGTCCGAGTCATGGGTATCTTCGGGCCCTCCATCGGCAAAAAAGCCCATCTCCCCTAGGTCATCATCCCATGGGCAAGGATTTCCATAGTGCCCTAACCAGATCACCAATCCAGTCTTGACCAAGCAAGATTCCTCAAAGAAGGAACCTGTCCATTGGCTGATCTGGTGGAAGGGAAGTCTGTTGTGCTGGATTCTGCAACAATTTGTGCATTAGAGGGGCTCACTGAAGCACCCATGACATTTATAGACACCATCTGTCCCACATATGATACAGGACCTATTTGATGGAACCTCCCTCTCAAGAAGTATGTTGAGATATGTCCTAGTCTTAGGCACCCATTGTCGAATATAGTCATTTTGACTCTTGAATGAAGATCAGTGCAGAACTGAAGGCCAAGCATGTGTTAGGCTTACCAGTGACTTTGGGAGCTGCAATGGAGTTGCTCCAAGATCATCAAAACAGTCATCACCCCCATGGTACAGCATATCATAAAATGCTTGCTTTACAGGGGACTTTGCAGGCGTAGGTGGAACTGATCTTCTGATCTTAGGTCTCTCCCCCCATTTCCCTACTACCCTCCGAGTCTGATGTGTCTTCTTCCATTCAACAACCGAATACTTGTTTTTCGGTGTCCACTCTTGGACTCTAGAGCCTCCCATTCCTCTTACCTGTAATGTATGGCAGTATAAAAGTTCTTTAGGGGCAAGCAATGATGCTTATGCTCATTAAAATTATCATCTAGAAATACATAATATCAACTGTATTATAGGATCCTGAACCGAGTTGAACCAAGCAATGCCCATAAGGCACAACCAAGCAATGCCCGTAAGGCACATCTTGACTATTTTCAACTCTTCCACCCTTCATATCATCATACACAACACAACATGGCAAGAAGTGAATCTCCTGTTGTTGTTGCACAGTCAAAGAAGGTTCCTTTGGACAAGGCAGAAGTCATGGTCCTCAGGGCTCACCTAGAGGACTGGAAGTCTGTCAAAGGAAAAGAACAATCCAGGGTGTTGGTTGCCATCCATAGGGAAGCCTCACTCCAAGCTCTGATCAAGGAAAAGCCTTATTGAAAGCTCGAAAAAGGTATGTGACAGCTTATATACATGTCTGAAACATCCAAGCATTGATCACATCCATGACAGACTTACAAGCAGTGGCTGCAGAACAACTCTCACCGGAAACAAGCTCCGAAGTCCCTCATCAAGTATGGCAGGCATTGGACTGCTTGGCAAGTCTTAGTTCATACCAACAATGCCCTCATCCGAGAGGAGACAGGGGAAATGGCTGGCAGTGAAGGAATAATCGGCAAATGGCCGAAGGCTGCAATGACCATTATTAATCATTTGTCAGCGGAGGAGAAGGAGGAAGCCCAAGCCATGGCAGAGAAGTGGAACAATGAGGCGGCACCACGTGAAGTCCAGGCCCAGGTCGCTGAGACCAAAGGAGCCGACATGATTGAGCATTTTGCCACAGAAATGTTCAAGAAAGCCGGTGTGGGAAACACAACAAGAAGAGAACTCTGTAAAGTACTCTTCAAATGTTGGGTCAAAATTGCTATGCCTAGCTGCTATTCGACCCTAAAGGATTTCTGTACTAGACTCAGAGCTCAGAGAGTAGAATTATCATCAAGCATAAGACTGTGATTCAGACTGGTACTGACACTGGTGAAAGGGAGACATTCTTATGTAAGCAGTAAAAATGCGAACATAAACTGAGGAAAGTGGTGGTAAGTGAAGGTAAGTAAAAAGGAGGAATATCAGCCCAGGGAAAACTATATTGTCACACCGGTATGAGAGTCTTTGTGCTGTCCGCATGGAAGAACAGGAAAGGCAAACTGATGTTGGGAGGGTATGTGTCTCTCCAGTCCATTGCCGATGTGCCAAATTTGACTATTGCAGCCATGACTTCAATGATCAATTTGCGAATGGCAAAAGCTTTATGAAGACAAGGGATTGGGAAGGTATATTCATGCCGGAATGGCAGGAATATGTACACATATTGCAGTAACAGATCTCCGTATTATACGAGTGGACGGACGTGCATAATATCCTGTATGATACGGGCCAGCGGACCATGGGCCGAGGGTAGATATATCCTTGACTGTGACGGATGGGCTGGGAGTGTTATTATTCCCGATGGAGATGGGTGGGCCCAGGTGGGGAATATGTAAAGTAGATGGGTGGGTGTACCGAGTTCCGAGACCCGGGTCTCGACAAACAAATATGTGATGTCCAGCACACTTCCGATCATCTGGTATTTCATTGAGCAATGGATGATAATAGATCTTTGAAAGCCAACATCATCCAAGCCTACCAAATGCCAAATGCCAAGTTCCGACCACCGAAAATTGAGTGAAGTGTACCAATATCTGAGCCCCAACTATCGAATCCCGAAAATCGACCATCGAGTCCCGACTATCGAGTCATGAAACCCGACGCCTGACCATTGAATCCCGACAATCGAGTATCGAGTCCCGTATATCGAGTCCCGACCATCGAGACCCGATGCCCGAGACCCGAGACCCAAGATTCGAGACAAGTTCCAACTATGGTGTCCCGGGTATCAAAATCGAGTGAAGTGTACCGAGATCCGAGGCGCGGGTCTCGACAAACGAGTATCTGACATCCAACAGACTTCCAATCATGTGGTATTTCATTGAGCAAAAGATGATAAGAGAAATAGATCTTTGAAAGCTCAGATCATCCAAGGCTCCCTTATCTGATCCTCTCAATCTCCACCCCCTTTAACACCAAAGTGCGGACATTCAGAATTCAGCTTCTGATCTCACAAGATCAATTCAATCATGGATGTTTCTTCCACTTCCGATGATGAAATAACCCTCTTGCGCACTTGGGCCCTGACTGTCACTCATGTGGCATGTGATTATACGGAACAGAAATTCAATGCAGAGAAGACAGGAGGAGACCCAGTTATACCTTCTCCAAACCTAGACACTGATCTGGTGATGGCTTGTGATCAATTGGTTGATCGGCTCATAAAGGCATATAAAAATCCCAGTGAGTCTTCCTGCAGATTTGGAAAATTTGTTTTATCAGTCAAATTGCTTCGTCACAGTTCAGATGCCGATTGATATTGCAAGATATAGCAAATTGATCTCCCCAAAGGACACGGGGCGTAATGAAGAGAGAGAGGAAAAGTTGCTCGAGAGGTGTCCTCCTGGCCATGAGGGCACAAAGTTGATCGACATACCCGCGACAATTCTTGATGCATCCGGTGGCATCATCGCATGGTACCTCCCAGATGCCTTGACCGATGCCACCCAGGTGTGTTATATATATTGTGACTGGATGGATATTGAACATCAAATGGTACGTACAGAATGAAATTTGGGCGGCCTCGGATTTGCTAGCTCCCATGCTCGAACAAAGCATAAAGCTCGATGGGATTTGGCGGACTAATCAACAGTGGTTCACACCAAGCTCGGAAAATGATGTCCTAACTCCCGGATGCGTTAATTTATCTCCGGCATGGTTTCAGCAGGGGCACGAGGTAGGATCTGATGAGATGGCGATCTTGGTAGTTAAACTCACCAATCCCATAGAATCAGTCCGATCCGGAGGTATCTGCATCATTGAAGGGACCATCCTCCAAGAACATCCTCAAAGCCATTGCGAGGCCAGCAGCCATTGCCACAGCAGCACTCAGGGTGATGCATCCTGAGCAGTACTGGGCAGGGTTGCAAGCCTTTGCGAGCCTCGGAGAAAAGGCACGAAGCAAGGAACTGCCGAAGATGTCAGAGACTCTCCAGTACTGGGCAACGGTGTTTAACAGCCTCACCATCATATGCAATCGGGAAACCCCAAATCATCGAGACCCCTCATCGATTTCCGAATGCTTCGATATTCTCACTAGCATGGGGAATTATTCTAATGCTCGGATGAGTATGCCAAGCCTGCAGCTGGAGTTAAGGTACGATCCGGGGTTGTCATATACCATATATCCGGTTACAGATCCGATCCAGATCCGATGAACATATCCATCGTCCGGTCCACAGATCCGCTTTGATTCTTATTTCATTTCCTGTTCATATAACTCTAACTATCGTTCATCTCCTTTCGGTATTCCTGTACACCGGTATACCGGTTATCCTTTACTTCCGCTTTGCTTACTGATCCGCTATGCTTACTGATCCGCTACACTTACGAATCCGCTTTTACTTGTACTTCATTCCCGGTTCATGATTCGTGATCCATCCAACTTACCAATACGCTCCACTTAGACTTTGCTTATACTTTCGTACATAGCCTCGCACCTTTGCTTATTGATCATTCCGTTAGCTATCCGTAGTATATAAACCTTTGTATATGCGCTGTAGTAGATCAGTTCGAATATCATCTTAGATTGCACTCGTTCCGTCTGGACTCTAAGTCCCTCCGTTATCCGTCCGGACTTGAGTACGCTACTCTTGTCTACTCCGAGACTTAGGATAGATTCCTATAGTCTACATATCCGCCTCTGTCTTCGGACAGTCCTCACCCGTTAGTTTCTAGTCCGGATCCGATCCGGATTAGCCGTTACTCTATACGTTCGATATCCGGAAGTCTTAACGGATCCATTGCAATACTTATCCGTTGCAATACAAGACTTATCCGTTACGATACTTATCCGTCTCACTAGACGCGATACTTTAGCTCTCTGAAATAAGGGGCAGACTCGGGAAGGGGCACAGCGCACGAGCTGAGGCCGAAGCCCTTCGGATCCGATACTACTTGAGTACGGTCTTAACAGTAGGTAGTACTGTAGTGATCTTTTGTGTTAGCACTGCGCCGAATCCATCTTTGCATCCATCTGATGTGACTATAAATGGGGTGCCGTTGAAGCAAGGTCCTTTCAACACTGGTTCAGCTAACAATAGAGCCTTGAGAAGGAGGAAAGTTTCAGAGTGCATTTGGGTCCAGCAGTCGTTTAATCGTGTCTTGCGCAGGTGTTCATGGTATTTCTTCTTCCCTACATTCTGCCCTCCAGGCGGTAGGCCTAGCTTGTGAACTAGATCAGTGAGTGGTGCCACAATCCAGGCATAGTTCTTAATCAGAGGCCTGAAATACCCCGTGAGTCCAAGGAACTGCATGAGGTTATGAAGTGTTTGTGGCATTTTCCAGTCGGTGACTGCCGTTAGCTTTGCCAGGTCGGGTTTGACCCTGTCTTTGCCTACTCGTGCACTGGTGAAAATGACCTCAGACATTAATAACTGGGTTTTCTGTGAGGACAACAACAATCTGTTATCGCGGATACGCTCAAAGAACTTACATAGTCTAGTCAACTTCTCCTCAAAATTGTCGCCTGCCATACCATTGTCATCAACGAAGAGTTCATATAGCAGGCCAATCTGGTCCTTGAGTGCTATGGCTGCCATGTCACTGAACGTGGTTGGTGCGCCTGTGAGTCCAAAGGGCATCCTGCAATGACAGTCATAACTGCAACCTTCAGTATAAAAGGCTACGTAGGGCTGGGTGTCTTCATCGACTGGGATTGCATAAAATCCTGCAGCAAAGTTGATTACATTGATCCAGCAATGCCCTGACAGGCGCTGTTGCTCGACGGAGGGAGGTTAGTCCGACCGCGTGCAGAGTTGTTTGTGTCTTGGTAGGAGGCATGATAGATGTTAAGTAACTCGGAAAGGTATGAGTTCGAATATACTGTTAAGACCGTACTCAAGTAGTATCGGATCCGAAGGGCTTCGGCCTCAGCTCGTGCGCTGTGCCCCTTTCCCGAGTCTTGCCCCTTATTTCAGAGAGCTAAAGTATCGCGTCTAGTGAGACGGATAAGTATCGTAACGGATAAGTCTTGTATTGCAACGGATAAGTATTGCAATGGATCCGTTAAGACTTCCGGATATCGAACGTATAGAGTAACGGCTAATCCGGATCGGATCCGGACTAGAAACTAACGGGTGAGGACTGTCCGAAGACAGAGGCGGATATGTAGACTATAGGAATCTATCCTAAGTCTCGGAGTAGACAAGAGTAGCGTACTCAAGTCCGGACGGATAACGGAGGGACTTAGAGTCCAGACGGAACGAGTGCAATCTAAGATGATATTCGAACTGATCTACTACAGCGCATATACAAAGGTTTATATACTACGGATAGCTAACGGAATGATCAATAAGCAAAGGTGCGAGGCTATGTACGAAAGTATAAGCAAAGTCTAAGTGGAGCGTATTGGTAAGTTGGATGGATCACGAATCATGAACCGGGAATGAAGTACAAGTAAAAGCGGATTCGTAAGTGTAGCGGATCAGTAAGCATAGCGGATCAGTAAGCAAAGCGGAAGTAAAGGATAACCGGTATACCGGTGTACAGGAATACCGAAAGGAGATGAACGATAGTTAGAGTTATATGAACAGGAAATGAAATAAGAATCAAAGCGGATCTGTGGACCGGACGATGGATATGTTCATCGGATCTGGATCGGATCTGAGATCCAGATCATCGGATCTGTAACCGGATATATGGTATATGACACTCAATTACTGCTATGCCTGAACAGGAACAAACGGGAGATGAGGTGGATGATGCAGAAGAGGTCTGGGATATCATGTGCAGGATGTCAAAGCCCAC